TATATTGGTGTCTGTGGGGGTGGGGGGGTAATTTTATTTTTTTATTTTTTGTGTTTGCTTTTGTTTTGTTTTTGTATTTTTTTTAATCAAACACCATCATTTTTTCCTTCATGGTTGCACTCTAGATTTTCCAGGAGGTGGGTCTGACTCTGGAACATACGTGCGGTGGTTGAACTGCCCTGACGCCACACCTGTTCTGGCCTCATCAGCCACGGTCCGTACGTCTCTGTCAAGGAAACATTAACGCCCAAGGCTCGGCCAGTGAAAGTAGTACGTTGTTTGTTTGTTTTGTTTTGTTTGTTTTGTTCGTTTGAGTAAAGAGATGCACGTCAACACAATAATGGCCGTTTAGTGCTGGGGGAAAAGTAAGACAGACAGACAGACAGACAGAAACAACAGAGGGAAATAAAGCAGTAGGACCTACCAGCTGCGCCCTCCTATCACCCGCTAATACTTTGCTGTAGTCTATTTACTATACATGGATAATGAAACCTCAACAGTCGGTGAAATGTTATTGACTGTGAAATGTTATTACCAAACACCCCCCTCCCCTCACTTTCCGTTTTAAAAAATCTTCAAACCATGCATATTCACACATGTGCAGTGGTAGAAAGACCACGTCAAGTTTGTTCACAACTTGCTTACACAATTTTTTTTAAATTTAATGTTCGCTAAAATATTAAAATACATCTTAATGTTCGCTTCAACTCCCACTTGGTCACTGAACAAAGCCACACTTCCACATTGTCAGAAACACCCATGCTCTATCTTGTGACAAAGGCGTAAAAACAAAATTTTCCCCCAGTTCAAAGAAAGATCAACTCATGAAAATCTTTCTAGCACTTACATGTTGAGACAGTTTGACCACGCCCACTACCGAGCTCCAGTAGGATAAAAGGGTGGACAATTTCTGCAGACGACACCACAGTTCCCAGTAGCCTGATATTTGCTGATCAAGTCGGAACCTTTCAGGTGAGATCTGTTTGTCCTCTTTATGTTTGTTTTAGTAGACGTTTTACGGTGCTCGCAACTGCATAAGGTCAAATGAGGGCCAAGGGGTGGATGTCAAGAGAGAAGTCCTTACAGTGAATCAGACTTACTCTGCTCACCTCTCTAGCTTCAACAGCACAAAGTCTGCTTTGACTATCAAGGCAACCAGGAAATAGCGGGTCACAAGAGTGTGACAAACATACAAAATAAGTAGAGGAAACTGACGATAGTAAGGATTAGGAAAGAAAAAGCAGCAGTTCCCTGTTGTAGTTCAGGCATAGTTATGCGCATGACATTGTTGGATCAGCCCATTTGTAATTCGACAATGCATTAGAACGAGAAAAGACCCCCCTTTGGAAATGCTCTAAAGACACTTCAGTCAGTGGCACCGCCCCGGGGGGTATGTCCTCTGAAGAAATCATAAACTAGCCTACGTGGCGTCGGCAAACTGGTGAATTAGGTTACCGGACATGTAACCCTGAAAATACGGCGAGTTCGGAGTTTGAGTCTCATCTCAATCCGATACGGTTACCAAGAAAAAGTATTTAAATTAAATTTTCCCATTTGACATTGTTTTATTATAGGAGATGGACGTTTAAGATGTCCCGTCGTTAAAATAGTCTTACAGTGTTGCTAGGGGCGGAAAACCTTTATAATTTTGCACGTTTCCCTCCAAAGTAGTCGAGGTTAATCTTTAAAAAACAACACAAGGAAGAATAGTATACAATTTCAGTAGTTTTTCCACGAATTGCTTTAAGAAAATATATTATTCTTCTGTCTATTTTGGTGGATAAAAAGAAACCCTTCTCTCTACTCCTGATAAATTTGAAGAAAAATGACAAATTTCTATTTTTGCGTGTGGCGGAAAACGACTTTGGTAGTGTAAACCATTCTAAATTGTGTACATTCAAATATTTTTTTTATTTTTTTTTTTTTGGGGGGGGGGTTGTTGCTTTTTTATGGGGGGGGGGGTACAATAAACAAAAGGAAAAAACCAGTAGCCACTCTAACTTTCACAGGGCACATAATACTTCAAACAATCATTAGTATTTAAAACCCGTGGGTAATTTTCACGTACATTTAATAATAGTAGTAATAATAATAATGTATACTTATACTATTTCCGGAAGGGCAATTTGGTTTACAATGGCCAACATACATACACACATACATACATAAATACAAATACATACATACACACATAAACACATGCACAAATGCATATATAAATACAAATATTTCACCAGTACAGAACAAATTGCAGCCATGCCATTGCCGGTCGCCACTGTGCAGCACCCGGTATTTTGAGCTGGGGTTGTCGAGTCTTGCTCAAGGACACACCCAAGTGACCACCCATCTAAACCGCGTGTTTGCTTTTTCTTTCCTATCGTCCTTATCTTGCCTCCTTTTTGTGTTTGCTGCTCTCTTGTAACACCTCTAATCTTCGGCTCTTGTATGACCTCATTGTGTTGCAAATGCCGTAATACATTTACTAAAAGTTTAAAAAACCAGTGTCACCGACACTAGATTGACATTACTTGAGTCTGAACTCACAACTCACTGAGCCACTGGAGCCTAGAGATAACCAAGAAGCATTATTGCACGGCAAACGTGAGTAGCTGAAAGTGAACAGTTTATGCACTTGTTCTGGGGAGGGAGGAGCTCTCGTAGCCGAGAGGTTAAGTTGTTCGCCTTTAATTCAATAGGCTCCGGGTTCCAATCCGGATAGCGACAGAAATATTTTTCTTTTCCAAAAGTGTCTCTCTTTCACCTCTTTTCCTGCTCTCTAGCAATGTTCTGTCGTCTGCTTTCGTAAACACTTTCTGCCCTCACCCGCTCACCTCCTACCCCCCACCCCCTCCTCTGGACTCCTGACTCTCTCTGTAGCCTTTCTACTGCTGCTCCTTGGCTCCTTCTTACTGCTGTCTTTCAGCCACACCCCTGATCTTAGGGTAGGAAAGATCTAATACCTAGCCTTCTCAGATATGAGCAAAAAATCTCGGAGGTCCCGTGTGCAGTTTGCGCTTGTAAAAGATCCCTTGGTGTTCCAAAAATCGATAAAAGTACGCTTCGGCCGCCACCCGAGCAAAAATAAAAATAATTAATTCCTACAGAAACTTTAAACGTCTAATGTGTCACACCACTCATATTACCTTATGCAATTGCGAGCGCCGTAAAACATTTTTTAAACCAAACAAACAAAGTGGACAAGCTACAACATCCTCCGCCTTACTCTCTTAAGTGCAGTGGGAAGTAATTTCACACGGAGGGAACAGCTCATCCTCATCTCTCCTCGTTATTTCACATGTTTGTCACTCTCTTGTAACACCTCTAATCTTCGGTACTTATATGACTACTGTATTATGTTGCAAGTGCCGCAAAACTCTTACTGAAGCTAAAAGAGTCCTTCACCAAGCAGTCGATGTTATACGATGCAATTTGAAAGGACTGTTGTATATTAATTGGATCGGTTTTCATGAAACGTCTCATTGTGTGAATTGTTGAAATGTCATTATGAAACGCCTGCGGCCGTTGTAGTGGGCTCAATAGAAATGATATTTAAGATTAGTTGCCATGAATCGTTACTACCTTGTTGTAGTGTTTGATTTGGGTCTTTTTTTCAGTTTAACACCAATCAAGATGAACAACACCGTCTTTGTCGTTCTCGTCGTCCTGGCTCTGATCGCCGCTGCCAGTGCTATGTCATTCTCCAGCTGTAACAGCAAGTTCAACGACTGGTACAGCGATTGTAAGAGCCGTTATGGCCAACAGAAATGTGACTTGACCATGAGCGGTTTCTCTGTAGCTTGCTATTACAGCTAAAATCCTCATGCTTCATGTCTCCTAAGCGTGTTGCAAGCCGCGAATATCTGAATAAATCTACTGCCTGATATCTTTGTGTTTGCGTTGTGTGAGTTATTGTTTGCTTTGCAGACAAATTATATTTTCCAACCTGACATTCAACATACAATGTTGATTCACAGCACTGGGAATTATAAGAGTGGTCCCCTTGTCGTGTCCACGATTTTCACTGTATTCCTCACAAGATGTCTGTATCTATCACTCAAAAAGTGCATTGAAGGCTCTCGTGGCCTAGAGGTTAAGGTGTTGGCCTCTCATTCAAAGGTCCCGGGTTCGAATCCGGGTAGCGACCAAAAAATTTTCTTCGCTAAAATTGTCTCCTTTCACCTCCTTTCCTGCTCTCTAGCAATGTTCTGTTGTTTACTTTCATTTCCACTTTCTGCCCCCACCCCCTCACCTCCTTTGCCCCCTCCTCTGGGCTCCTGACTCTTTCTGCAGCTTTTCTACTGCTACTCCTTGGCTCCTCCTTACTGCTGTCTTTCTGCCACAACCCGGATCTTCTGGTAGGAAAGATCTACACCTAGCCTTCTCGGACAAGGGCGAAAAATCTCGGAGGGCCCGTGTGCAAGTTGCGCACGTTAAAGATCCCTTGGTGGTTTAAAATCGATAAGAGTAGGCTTCGGCCGCCACCCGGGCAAAATTCAAAATTTCCTATCATTGAAAATATTAGGAGTGTCCCGCGCGCTCATATGACCTATGCAGTTGCGGGCGCCGTAAAACACTTTACAAAAACCCCCAAAAAAGTGCATTCAAATCTGTATTTAAAGATGTCAAGGGGGGCTCTCGTGGCCTAGGGTTTAATGTTTCGCCTCTCATTCAAAGGTCACGGATTCGTATCCGGGTTTGTAACGGAACAATTTCCTCTCTAAAATTGTCTCCTTTTACCTCTTTTCCTGTTATCTAGCAATGTTCTGTAGTCTGCTTTCGTCTCCTCTTTCTGCCCCCACCCCCTCACCTCCTTCGCCCCATCCTCTGGGCTCTTGGCTCTTTTTGAAGCCTTTCTTCTACTGCTCCTTGGCTCCTTCTTACTGCTGTCTTTCAGTCACACCCCTGATCTCATGATAAGAACTAACACCCGACCTTCTCGGATAAGGGCGAAAAATGTCGGAGGTACCGAGTGCAAGCTGCTCGCGTTAAAGACCCGTTGGTGGTCTAAAACCGAAAAGAGTAGGCTTCGATCGCTACCCGGGCAAAATTCAAAATTTCCTACCAACTGAAAGTGTTTAATGTGTCCCTCCCGCTCATATGACCTTATGCTTTGCTTTCAGGGAATGTTCAGTTGCACAGATTTCGGACCTAATGAAACGCTGAGAAATAAATGTGTTTCAGGCGCTTGTCAGTTTTTGGGCATATGGAATTATTTGTGTTATTTTGAGGCTTGTTCATTTGCCTTTGTTTTAAAGGAAAAAATGCACACCTATCTTGAATAGAAGTTGAGAAATTTGCTGTTGAAGGAGATCGGGGTCGCCTGATTTTAGAGGTGGTTTAAATTGGCGACAATATGACCGCCAACGTTTAGTGACTTCCACAGCTTGAGAGTCTTCAGAAACTGAAAAGTTACATTTTTGCGCCTTCGATCAACAATGTTAAGGAAAATTCCCACGGAAATAACACGTATTTTGTAATAGACATAACATGTGTTGTTTTTTTTTAATCGGTAAAACTTGGCTAACGTAAAGAAAAATGTTGGGTTCTTCGATTTCATTCATTCGACGAAAGCCTGAATTCACCACAATGCCTCACAAATGTGTGCTTGTTTCATTGATTCAACAAAAGCCTTTCATTAATAGAAGGAAGGATACATAAAATGAATGAAAGCTATACAAAGAAACTCAGAAGTGAACGCTGCTACTTACAGACATCAGAAGTATTGTAGTATTGCTTAGTTTTAGTAAGTGTTTCACGGCACTTGCAACACAATACGGTCATAATATAAGTGCAAAAATGTAGGCAAGGGAGTAGCTAACAAAAAAAAGAAAGAAGGAGAGATCAGTTCGATGCGATAAATGTTGAATAGGAAAAAAGAATCAAAGCTCACGAGAGCAGACGCCAACCAACCGTTTGTGGAACTGTACTGGAATCAGAAGATCACCTTTAGAATGAAATAATGTTGAACTTTCAAAACCGTTGAGAGCTAAACAGGTGTGAAAAGAATCTGTGTTGTGCCTACTACATATAACATAATGCAGTAACATGTGGCTATACTCAGGGTGTCTCAGAACAAAGGGTACATTTTTAAAAGCTCACAACTCAGTAACAACTACTGAACAGAAATGATAATTTTAAATATTCATGCCCAATTAAACCAATTATTTGTAGAGCAAATGAAGTTAAAAAGAGTTGGAACCAGTACGCAGCCTTATGTATGTCATGCACATTATCCAAGACTCAGATCCATATTAACAGGTTCGTAATACAACTGTGCTATACAACAGCCGACCGTGACAGAGAACGGCCCCAATAGTTTTCCATGGCTTTTGACCCTTGCCAGTCATCATGGAATGATCTAACCAAATTGAAAAAGTAAAAAAGGTGAAATGATATGAGTTCAACGCCCCTATCAACACTATTAGGTTATTTAAGGGGCGGGACCTCCTAGTTTAACGTCCGTCTCCGATAAGACCGAGCCAAGTGAAAAGTTCGTGTAAAGTGCCTTTCCCAAGGACACAACGTCGGACCGAGCTGAGGCTTGAACCCACGAACCCGCAATCTCACGATTACGAGTCCAGTAGCCTAACCACTAGGCTACCAACGCCAACTAACCAAATTGATGAACTTAGGTGGGAATCCAAAATTTGCCATAATTGTCCAAAATGCCTACACGGCAAGTGGTGTCAAAGCTATTTGTCAGGTCAACAAATTCCAAGTATAAATCTATGTATTGTTCTCTTAATTGTTCGTGTATTTGACGGGCAGCAAAGAAATACCGTATTTTCTGTTGTCCGTCTCCATGCAAAAACGACATTGACATTTGGCAGTAAACTATTTGCAGAGATAGACAAGAAAACGATTCAGAAAAATTTCTGACAAGAAATTTGCGCGAAATACGAAGGAGTGTAATGCCACGATGGTTGTCACAGAAGTGCCAGTCACTTTTTTTTTTTTTTTTTTTTTTGGTGTGCAAATTCACAGATGTTGGGTTTTGAGCTGCCCAGGTACCAATCAAAATAAAATGTGAGGCAGCGTGGTGGAATCAGGCTCTCGTCAAAATAATCAAAGTGAAGAAACTTGTATTTTTCCGCAGAATTGTGAATTTTTATTAAATTTTTGTTTTTGTGGCTCAACACCTTTTTTGCCCATGAAAAAACTCATTTCTGAGTGGATTTTTCATAAAAACGTTGATTAAAGGCACAAAAAATAAAAATTTTCAATTACCACGGACTCTTAAGCTAAGAAAATAACTAATCTTTGGCGGCTATTTTCTCATTAATTTTACCTCTGAAAACAGGTGACGTCTACCTCCTTCATTCGCAAATATCTCGACTTGTATTCAAGATAAATGGATATTTTTTTCATCCAAATAAATACAAGTGAACAAGCTTTAAGATGATACCAATAACTTTACACGCCCAAAAATTGACGAGAGCCTGATTCCACCACGCTGCCTCACACTTCAGAATGAGCGAGTCACCGTCATAGACATTTTTAGCTGGCGGACACCGGAAACTTATTCAGTTACAGTAACTTTGTTGTGCAGCTGCCCTAGCAGTTGGGAGATCTGCAAGATTTAATCTGATGGCTTTCTGTGGAAGCTGCTCAACTGACTAAGAATTTATGCTTCACGGTCCATTTCGAACATTTAAAGGGACGCAAGCAAGAATTTTTTTTGCTCCTCGGCTGAAGGGATAGAAGGGAGAAAAGCAGAAATTGTGTCAGAGCGATAAAATTACAGTTATCTTTCCTTCTCATGGTAACAGTTTCTTGAAAAGAAGCTGCAGACCTTTGTTTTTCATTTGGTTAAAAGAAATGCGACTTACGAGGTCTGTTTCTACAGAAATATCAATCTTTTCGCGCTCCTTTTATTATTTTTTTTTTTATTAATTTTTTTTCGTGTTTAGCTCATTCCAGTTTTGGTGAACTTTTTGAATTGGCAATTTCATTTGCTCAGTAATATTTATGTATTACGATGTCTGACGTTTTCTTACTTGAATACAGACATCTCTTGGGGTTTTTTAAATTAATATTTAGTCAGGAATGTTCTAGAATACATGTAACTGGTGTTTACAAAAATATTGATCTGTGTGTAAGGGCAAATTGATACAAGTCGTTGCACCAAAGCTGGAGAGTCTATGTCCGATAGTTGAGAAAATATATGGCAATAGGTTGCACCACGAAATTGTGACTGGACTATAATATTCATTTGGTCAAAAAGAATGCGATTTATGAGATCGATGCCAACAGAAGAATCAAATCTATTTTGCGCATTTTTTTCGTGTTTAGCTCATTCCGGTTTTCGTGAACGTTTTGAATTGGCAATTTCATTTGCTCAGTAATATTTATGTATTACGATGTCTGACGTGCTCTTACTTGAATACAGACATCTCTTGGGTTTTTTTAAAATTAATATTTAGTCAGGAATGTTCTAGAATACATGTAACTGGTGTTTACAAAAATATTGATCTGTGTGTAAGGGCAAATTGATACAAGTCGTTGCACCAAAGCTGGAGAGTCTATGTCCGATAGTTGAGAAAATATATGGCAATAGGTTGCACCACGAAATTGTGACTGGACTATAATATTCATTTGGTCAAAAAGAATGCGATTTATGAGATCGATGCCAACAGAAGAATCAAATCTATTTTGCGCATTTTTTTCGTGTTTAGCTCATTCCGGTTTTCGTGAACGTTTTGAATTGGCAATTTCATTTGCTCAGTAATATTTATGTATTACGATGTCTGACGTTTTCTTACTTGAATACAGACATCTCTTGGGGTTTTTTAAATTAATATTTAGTCAGGAATGTTCTAGAATACATGTAACTGGTGTTTACAAAAATATTGATCTGTTAAGGGCAAATTGATACAAGTCGTTGTAC